GTGTGCGCGACTGCTGAGGGTGAGCTGATAGCGAGCTTCCAGTTCATTTGCAACGTCCATGCAAACACTCCCTCAGCCTGGAGCGCGAGCTAGCACGCGCTCCTGGATTGGAGACGTGCATTTCTAGCGCGCACTCTCGTTCTGCGGAAGAAGGCTTCCAAGCAGCGACATCGAGCTCTCGTGCTTGTAGCGTTGGCTGCATTCTGTGCTTAAGAGTGAACGGAGTATAAACAGCGCCCTCAAAAATGGCCTCCAGTGCCAGGGTCCAGAATCCAGCGAAGGTCTTTGCAGCCCTTCGCACAGCTGTAAGACAATTTCACTCATGCATTTGGCGCTCCACGTGAACGTCTAACTCTATCGTATGATATATCAACAGACACTCGGTGTGAGCATCTGTGTCATTATCTGTTACATAAACCATTAAAGCAGGCGATAAAGTAGATGACGTCGCAGACGACGTAGCAGACGATGGTGTTAATCCGGGCTAGTTCGGTTGCTCAAGAGATCTACTACTGCAGACGTTTAGAGGAGGAAACGCGCAGGCCTTGTCTTCAAGGTGGAATTGCCTGTGCTACCATATCCGCGAGCTCCAAATCTGCGACCGGGCACTCTGTGGCTCCGTGGTCGAACTGCCAGGCTTTGTCAGTATAAAGGAGGCTGACTCTGGTCAAGGCGCTTAGCTAAGTAGAACTATCGTTAAAATTCTTTACATATCTTTGTCATGAGCTGTCTGGTGCGTGTCGAAGCTGAATATTTTAAGGTTTTACATGTCGCCCTCAAAAGCGTAGCTCATGGAAACTTACAACACTCGTTAGGGCGACATCGGACAACAATACAGCAAACTAACGTCTCAGGTACGTTCAGGCTCCACGTCATTGCCCGACTTTAAATTTTTGCTTCACCAGCCATCAAAGGCTGCCATTAGCATGTAAAGGTACACTTCCATGATGATAGTTATGGAAGTTGCCAGAGTGAATTTCGGAAAAGGCTTATTGATAAGTTGATTGCATAGGGCCAATATTCGCGAGGAACGCTTTCAGTACAATGCCGCTCCATACCGATCTTGCCCCGACTATAGTCGGTTGCAAGCTAAGAAAAAACCGGAAATGCCTCTCAGAGGAAAATGTAATCCTACGCCGAGAAACGCCAGCCAATCGTTTTCATAACGTCACGATTCCGTGGACCAATCGCGATCCTTTTCAAAAAAAAAAAAAAAAAAAAAAGCTCAAAATGGCTGCTGGCCTTAGCAACGCGACGCTGGTTTCTCGTGACAATTATTCTGCTTTTTTGCAGCGTGTTTTACGTGCCCGAGGTTACGCCAGGAAGTCCTAATGGTATCGGCTTGCGTTTGCAGCAGTTTTTGCGCGACAACGTGAGAATCCAGCGACGCTATCGCCAACGAAAATTTCGAAGCGGGCGCGAGGCTTAGCACTGCTGAGAGGTATGTTAGACGGTATGTTAGACAGTATCTTGGACTGAAAATGAATTGGGAAGACGGTACATTGGACATGACTTTCTTTCTTTACTGAACAGCTATTTTGTTGACAAAAACGTATTCTAACTTATTTAAATGTCCTGAATGAATTAAGTAAATATTGTGCATTTCGACAAAAACCCCGAGACTGGGGCAAAAAGGGACGGGCAAACACAAAGTCACAAAGTCTCTTTTTGAGACTTTGTGTTTGTCCGTCCCTTTTTGCCCCAGTCTCGGGGTTTTTGTCGAAATGTTTAACCACCACCAGCTCGTTTGCGCCCTTACCTTTTGTTCACTGAATATTGTAGTAGTTTAAGACACGTTTCCTGGAGGAAGAAAGAGCAACGTTGCTAGCGAACTACTTTATCGACGGCGGAGGCACTTCAGATGGGCTCAGTGCGCTTGTGGGTGGAGCTAAAAGATTGTTCTCAGGTTGCATCCGACTATAGTTTAGAACGACTCTTTTGAAGCTCCGAAGATTGAAAATACAAAAATTGGGATTTTCAAAGCAACAAAGCCCGATCAGCCAATCGCATTCCGAGGCTTTGGTTGTCTCTCAATCAGTATCCGTTTGTGATCTGCAAGCAGGCAGGGAAGGCAATGGCGGCACTTTTCAAATACGCAACAGCTTCAGTAAAAAAAAAAAAAAAAAAAAAGCGGCGATGGAGGCCGATTAACTCTCCGCTGTCGAAATACACACAGAACAAAATGATTGCGAACTCCCCCGCATTTTGGTCGTGTATTTAGGATTAGACGTGCTGGGTTTCTGGTGTAATCATCTTCCTCACAGCAGCAAATGTTGAGCCGCAAAAAAACTACCATAAAATCTCCGAAGCGAGTAGAAAACTCACCTGGCCTTTGTGTTCGAGGCGGGCGTGGGCAACAGGAACTATATTTTCCTTCCTGGTTTGTTCCTTGGTGACAACGTAGGTGCGGTTTCCGGATAAATAAAGGTATAGCAGAATGCAGTCGATGATCACAAGGACGACGATGACCACGACGCCGATATTCACAATCACCTCCTTCCTCTTTCTGAGAGCCTGGCGTTCCTCGGCGCTCAACCCGGGCGTCGAGGGCCCCACTGACTGCTGCGACATTTCACTCTCGTCGGACATATTTTCATCCGTCGTAGGCTTCCCCGATTACCGAGAGATGTTCGTCGTGATGGCGGTCGGGAAGGACTCGAATTCAATTGCACGGATGGCACAAAGTCGCGAGCGAGCTCATGGCGCGTGGAAACGCGCGATCTCCAATTCTGCCGTGATACTGTTGCTGACGCATGGGTGCCTCACACGTTACGCAACACCCGATGCACGAAAGACGTTTAGCAAATTCTTACCGTGTTCTTCGCACCGCATTACCGGAGCATTTGGAGCCTGCTTTTAAGCGCGCGTCCCGAGGTTGTGCGGTAGGCAGAACAGAAGGACGGTTCACTAAAAGTCCCTGAAAGCAGATTCAAGGGAAAGGGCCCCTCTAGCCTCAAATGGGGGTCGTTAGTATAATATAAAAAAGACTCGTGGCAAGTAACAAAACCTCGTTTTGGAAGTGTCCAAGAAATTTCTGCTCGCGATTTGGAGAGTGAAGCGTGTAAAACGCCCCTGTAAATTTCCGTATTGCAACTCACTTGATAAACAATCAGTGACGTAACAAGAGGAGGATGTATTCTCCCTGGGCTCTCCTTTCTCCGCCCTCTTCGGTCGCGCTTGTTGTCATCGCGTCGGTCGCGTCGCGCCACTCATATCATCTCGATATCTTATTAGCAGCAACAGCGCGTTAAAAACAGGGACGAAATGAGAGGGCACTTAGACGGACAAACACAGCGATGACTTCCAACCAATTTTACTAGAGGCAAATGTTTTACAAGTGGCATATAGGACTCTTCTAATTTGCAATAGACAAAGCGACGGCCGAGTCATAAACCACATCTGAGCCCACTTGTTTGAAACTTGTTAACTTTAACCGCAGCAGAAAGTTAACCGCATTTCTCTACAAGGGGGAATTTTGGGTCACGTGACCGGCAAAGGAGGGATGGCGGGGAAACATGGCAGTACCCCTCCCAGTGAAGGTCGCTTGCTTTGGAAATAATGTCGTAGTCACTGCACTATCGGGCACGCGTGTCAGCAATAAATAATGCAGGAGGCTTTTGCTTTGGATTACATCACTTAAATCGCAAAGTATGAAAATGATATCGCCACATTTTTATATTGTCTTTCAATTCTGGTCATTCCTAAGCCTAAAAGGACAAGTAGTTGTCGACTTGGCAATGCATATAGAATCCTAGTGAATTGTCTTGAGTCGATGTCTCAGGTATTGATTGCACGCAGAAAGAGAACTCGAACCACTTTTGATTCGAGCCGAAATACGCAATTTTTTTTTTATGAAGAAGGTTTTATGTGCAGTTCAATCATATCGGCCAGTGCCGCTAAATAAGCTACGCTTCAGAATACCAAAGCCTACCAATTGTTTGGCTTGCCGGTCCGGTCATCCGGTATTCCGGTCCATCCTTTTGTTAAAAAAAGGTCTTGATCACCTTCAACCAATAAACAAAAGCAAGCATCCTCAGCATTCAGACAAGGTAGGTGGCACAGGGTGATTACTTGTTGTGTAGTATGTAGTATAGAAATAAACCAGAGAAAAGCAAACGGTGACCTGTGAGCTTAGAAATAATGTGTCACTTGTCTTTTTTTCTGTTTTTGGGGGAATTAAATTATTTACAATCTTTCTTACCTGTGCCACTTATATATAATTGAAAATGGAGGGAACCAGATTTGTGAACATATGAAGAAAAACTATTTTCCTTGTACCGAACGACACTCCAAGTACAACTCTTATCCTACCGTAGAATACCATGCATCCGCCCATTCCACATTAAGCGCCGATATCCAAATTTTTAAGATCTGAGAAAATATGCACAGTACATTTATATGTAAAACTGATGACCAGGCAAGCGCCCATTCCCCATTTTTTTGCGATTATCTCTAAATTTTGAGTGGGCGCTTGCCTGGTATTTTACGGTAATACAGTGGCCTACAATTTAAATAAAGTAGTGTTGTATCCTGCATGCCAAAAATACGCACAAAGGCTTGCCCAGTCTGATGCAGATGGACACTGCCGGAAGCTCCTTGAGTTGAACACTGGAGATGCGTTTTACATTCTAAAAGTAAACAATGAAGCCGCCCCCCCCCCCCCCCCCCCCAGTTCAACTTCAAACCATATAAATATCTGAGCATGTTTCAAAGGCAAGAAAGCACAAGTGGCTAATGTTTCCATGCATTAACAGACAAAATGTAATCATCAGTGGTGAATCTTACAAAAGAACTGCTTGTAGCAGCTTCTTAAGCAAAAACATGGCTTTTGTAGCACCATATTTCATTTAATTTATTTCACACTGCAAACTTAAGGACATGACGTCCCGAAACCAAGACCACACGCAACGAAAACAGCACAACCAAGCACCGGGGCAGGATACCACAAGCATACAATAGTTGCTTGAACGACGGCAAGTTAAAGTATTCAAATAACGAACCTGCAGCAAAAAGATGTCCGAGCGTTCCTTCATGGCTGTGGTAGCGTGCCTCGAATGACTGGCGTGGGATAGCGGCTTCTGTAGAGGCATCGTAGCTGAAGACCAGTGCTGGCAGGCTCCTAATGCTCCCAACTTGAAATCCACCAAGATGGGTCCCAGGAACCACTGTTTTCCCGAGGTTGGCTCGAGAACAATCAATTTCGTGGCGTCCTGTGGTTCGTCCAGCATATGGGCCCCGTCATTGCTGGCGATGCTCATAAGTATAATCTGCAGCAAAAAACTGTGTGAGTGCTTCATCACGGCTGTGGTAGCGTGTCCCCCACATTTGAGCTTTTGGAGCAGGCGATTCAGGTTTATCATATTGTAAAAAGCGATGCAAGTACTATAGAAATTCCCGCAGTTCCTCTCAGTGTCATAAAAAACTATTAAACTGCAATTATGACACCCAATTATTCACAGCAAAAAGATTGCTGCTGGAAAAGGGGAAAGAAAGCAAAAACACAGAACTTTGGCAATGACCTCATTGCCTTTAAAGCTTGATGCAGTAACGAAATCAGTCCCACCTTCGACAACCGCAAAGCAACAAAACTATTTAAACATAGCGAATCAACCACACGTCACAACAAGCATTTTTCCCTAAAATGCAAATAATGGGAGGAAGATTCATACGAGTGTTCCTCAAGTAATCGGTGCCACCGAAACAATGATTGACTCCGCTCTTCCTCCCACGCAAGGCATCAATAATCGTTCCAGCCAAGGAGAAGCTACTACAAAAGGGAAGGGGTAGGACACTCTTCTCTGAAAGTGGCCCCTTTTTGCTTGAGCATATATTTTAATAGTCCCTTTTACGTAGGCAAATATAAGCGAGTAACATGTGTGAATTTTTACGCAAGCGCAGTGCCGCAAGAAAAAGGCACAACTCGTCGAAAGCAAGTTTCGACGGTCTTGCGGCATGATCAAAGCTTCTTTGACATACCGAAGCGCTGAGTCTCTGTGCCTTCGCACGCTAGGATAGCGATCAAGAATTGGTGCCGCGAAAATGTTTTGAAGGTGTGTCGTGCATAGATGTCTTTGCATCTTATATCGGCTAAAGAGTTCTGGAGCATCCAGATGTTCAGGCGAGTTGCTATCAATTAAGGGGGGAAAGCAATCTGTACAGTTGCTCTTATGCACTATTAACCATGGCTGTGTTCCAAATCTACTCTAATAGATCAGATAGCAGCACAAATAGAGCAACGCTGTAGAGCAAGGAGGGTTTTTGAAGGCAAAAGTACAAGACGGCGAGAATGAAGATCTTTGAAGCGCGGTCCATATGGTCGTGTGCAGTCTGTTGACCAATCACAATTAGGCGAGCCGTGCTCAAACGTCAACTGAAATTAAATAGGTTGATAATGAGACACCGCTGATCACTGATGAGGAGCTGTTGTGCGCATATTCTCTGAACCGTCTAACAACAAAAACAAAAAAAAAGAAGTACCTTCCCCCCTCTTCCGTCGCCACTTAGTTACAAATACAGTCATCAGAGTAAAGTAAACCGCTGCTCCGGAGGCACATACGGCTACAGGCACATTGCACTCGCAAAACACATTCACACGGTATCGATTCTTGACCGGCATCCAAGCGTGTGAAGGCATAGAGACGCAGCGCTTCGGGGTGCCAACGAAGCTTTGAACATGCCGCGAGACCGGCGAAACTTGCTTTCGACGAGTTGTGCCTTGTTTCTGCTGCACTGCGCTTCCGTAAAAATTGCCACGTGTTCTCGGCGGCAAGTCTCACGTCTTACATAGCGTTTTAAAAAATTTCCTCGGTGAATGACGAGGAACGAGCAGAAACTGTGTCTTCAGCACGCTGCCGCCAGCCTCCGCGACGCTCCAAAACCGAGCTTTCTCAACGTGCAAGATTGCCGTCCGGTGGCCGCACTCGGGCTGCAGCGATCAAGCGGGGGTACGCGATCTAGCAATTGTCCTAAACATCAGTGTATAAACTAGAGAAAACACGACATGCTCTTAAATTCAGTACGCTACAGCGCTCATTATGATAATTCAACGAGCGCGGTTCAGCCTTTTATGTTAAATCTGATTTCTCCGGTTCTTACGCGCCCGAAAGCGAAAGGGTGACGGCGCCCGAGAGCAAAAAAGGTACGAACAGAAGGAGTTCGGGAGAGCCCACTCAGCCCAGAGCAAACCAAACACTCATGGCGATGAGCCCCGCGCCTGCACACGTCCATCGAGTCGAGTCTGATGCGTGAATAGGTTTCCCTCGCGCAACTGAGTCGGGAAGCTAAAGCAAAAAATATGGCGCGTTTTCTGACTCAGCCCGCGCTATTGCGTTAAGTTACGCGTCTTTGATTCCTTCTGCACTTCGGTTATCTCGCAAGGCGCATGCGAAAATGAGCTAGCTTACCTTCTTAGTCCAGTTGAATGGTGAAAGATGATCGCGGCGACGACGAAGAGTGCTGCCGCCGTAACCGCCCGTGCTGGTTCACGCGCAAGCGAGCGTGCGGACCGGGAAGTAAACATCACGTGATGGACGGCGCCCCTCGCTCGGTTGTCGCCGTCCGCGAGCTGAGTGCGCCGGCCTTTGGGTGGGTCTCCCTCCGCCGTTCGAAAGAGATTTTAGCATTTGCACGAATGGCACGTAACATGAGACATCTGCCAACAAGAAAGCTATCTCTAGAGCAAACGTGGCGTGTGTTATGTGTTTTTACTTGAAAGAAAAGGGAACACAGACCTGAACTAACAAATATGTGAAGCCGTACATTTACGGACTCGTGCCGTCATGTCGCCTCTACGGCGTTTTGCCCGTGCGCGCCTCTCACGGCGCTTTCCAGTTTTGAAAAAGGCTGTTAACTTACGTTTTTTTTTTGTTTTTTTTTGCAGTGCACAGACAGAACTATAAAATCGTGGTCGGCTTACGGCCGATTCACACGACGGACTGAACCGCGATTTTTGTCTGCGGACCGTGTACCACATGACCGGCCTGTCACCGATTCCTGCGATCCGCAGCTCGTCCGCGGACGCGGGGACTGATAAAGTCGAGCGCCTTTTTCACTCGCGGATTTTTGGCGGTAGATTGACCAGAAAAGCGTTTAGTCTGGCAACGGTACATTGTTTTCTTTGTTATTTGGTTCTGGACGATTAAAACAAAAATGGCGCATGGTTGTGTGTTGTGCGTTCGCTGGTTCATTTTGCCGCGCGATTCTTGGTTTCACGCGAGAAAAAAACTACAGAAACTTTGGCTGACGCGACGCAGGTTCCCGTACTCCTCCGGGTTCGTGTCAAGAAGCACCCTTCAAATCTCGTCTAGCACGCCGCGATAATTCTTGCACGTCCAATCAGGATTTCACCGAGCATGACCTTTCTTGTGGTTGCGGTGCACTTGAGCGTTGTGCACGAGTGCGGAGTGCATGAAGGCATCTCCACACGCCCCTCCGCGAGTCCAGAAATTCGTCGCGTCTGCGCCCAACCCTTCTCGAGCAGGGGTGCTATGTTGCGCTTTTTGCACTCCCAGGAGACTTGGAAGAAGGAAGTGACGTCAACGACTAGAGCAAACGCAGATTGGATGTTGACAGAAGAAAACAAACTCAACATCCAATCTGCAGTTGCTGCGTTGTTGACGTCACTTCCTTCTCCCTAGTCTCCCGGGAGTGCAAAAAGCGCAACATAGCCCCCCAGGACCATTCCTGTGTCACTGTCATGCCTTGGGTTAGTAAAGCTAGTGGCGCTTCGCGCGAAGCCTATCACCGTGTTTAGTCTCGATCTGTACGTAACAATGGCGTACGATTCTTTATCGCGGTAGCAAACGTAGATTTCTCCATTGGAAAATGGTGCCACAGTGCGATGTTACAGTTTCGCGGCACTGTGGGGTGGCGAACAGGTTCGGTCCGTCCTCGCTGGTGTCTGCTCGTTGTCCCCCTCGTGTGGATGCGTTTGGGAGACGGACGAATCGCGGACATGTTGTCGCGTGATCAATCCGTCCGCGGATCAGTCCGTCGTGTGAATCGGCCATTACCGACGCGCGCACCGCTCAAAGTGAAAAAAAGCAAAAAAATAACAAAAAACAATAGCGTCGTCGACTTCAAACGCATTTCTCGCCAAACGTGCTCGACTGCGCATTCTTTCCCAGTAACTTGACTACAGCGCCGCCATAAACTGTCAATACACGCGCCCTCACGAACTCCCGTTGCCGAGCCGCTCCTGTCCCAACACTGCCCCAAGTATTCTAGTACACTGTAACCATACTGACCCTACTGCCGATTCTCCGGTGTCGGCACCTATCGCGATCTACATAGAACGCCTCACACGAGCCGCTGCGGTTTCAACATTACCCCGCATTGGAGTACACTGTAGTCGAACTTTGACTGGCTGAAGTCCGCCCCAACACCAAGTTCGGCTTAAAAACGCCCAAGCTGGTTTTTACGTTTTATAGACGCTCCCGGGAACTTCCTTTGTCAAGTCCCTTTCAGAGAGTGTTTATTTGCCATATCCTAAGGGATGAGGAATGAAGGAATGTGTTGGTGAGAACTAGGTCTAGACGCTGGTACTAACATTTCAGCAATGTGACTTAAGCTAAGCTAAATAGATATCACTAACTTGACCTCAAAGATGACATCTAGGAGACGTTGCAGGATGCTTCTCTTGTTATCTTCGCCAGGTCGGTGAGACCAGCCATCTACGAAAGCACTATTTTTAGGTCGGTACTCGGCTCTGATGTTCTTGTATTTGGAGAATTCCCACATCAGGTGGAAGGTATCTTATTTGATGCCCATGTCGTACCTTGAGCTGGAGCCGGATATTTCCCCCCGGCTCCACGATGCGATGCGCGCAAGTGTTATAGCTGCGATTGTCCTCACAATGGTCAGGAGTACCTTGGCTCTTCTGCCGAAATCTCTTGAGGGAGGAAGGCTCGGTATTGGGGGACGTTTCTCCCAGAGTGCTGCTTGGCAGTCTTTCTTGAATTGGGCACGATCCAATCCTGGATTGTAGCCTTGATTACTGCAGTTTTCTTCTTTTGCTCGGCTTCCATTGTTCGTTCG